TCGCTCCTCAAGGCTGACCTCTGGAGGCCCCCACGGGCGGCCCTCTACAGTGCCTGATCCAGCCAGCCGGGATCACATACCGATGCGATCCAGGCTGGCTGGATCTAATCAGGCACTGTAGAGGGCCACCCGTGGGGGCCTCCAGAGGTCAGCCTTGAGGAGCTAGCGGCCGCTGAGTACAGAGCCGCATCTGTAGCGGCTCTGTACTCTGTAAGTAGCGGCGGAGGGAGCCACTGCACCGGCGGCCAGAGGATTCTTTTAGCGGGGGCCAGTGACGGGCAGCGGCTGTTTTTAAAGGCAGCAGAGAGGCCCTGTGGCAATTGCCCCCCAGTCCATTCCTCCCCTGCCGCCCGCTCACTGCGCTCTCTTGCCGCAGCGCTCGGCCGCTTGTGACAGTTTCTCTCCTCCCCACTGGGACACAGAGCAGCGCCCAGCGGGGAGGAGAGAAAGAATGGATGCACTTTGCCAAAAGTGCCATTGTCGGCCGATATGTTTCGGAAGCCAATTTATCGGTGCATCCCTAATATATATACACACACAGTATATTTAAAGCAAAATTTTGAAAAACCTCAATGGAGGAGGGGAAAGGCATCCTACCAGAAACTCACCATTACACTTTTGCTTTATGGGCAATCCAGACTGTTTAAATCTCCTAAAGAAGAACAACCTTCTTCACCAAATAGAAATACCCAGGAATTTAAGTTATTCACACTCTCCACCTCCTCTTCACTTATGTACAAAGGGGAATGCAGGATCTTCCTGGATCTCCTTTAGTTCACAATGATTCCCTTATATATTTGTGGCATTTAATATTAGATTGTTATCTGTACACCACTCAACTAGATTTGGAACTTCCTGCCGATTGTCTGCCTCATCATAAATGTATATGTCCGGCTAGAGTGGTGTCATCAGCGAGCATTCACTATAGTATTAGTGGCATGGATAGGAATACATTCATGTGTAAACAGGATTGCACTGAACACACAACCCTGGGGTACTCATGTATTCAAAATGAGAGTAGTAGAATGTTGATTTCCTGTTCTCACAGTTTGCAGCCTATCTGTTAGGTAATGACGTGCATTACACTTGCCTCCATGCTGATGATGCAGATATCCTCGTCTTGAAACCCGTGGTGCAGGTACACTTCCACATTCTGCAGGGGGGACCTTTCATCAGAAACATCGCAATAGACTTGTATGGGTTTAGTAACTAGAATGAGGTGGATATGTGTATAGATCACATTATCTAGGTGGATGATCTCTGTATTTATGGGAATGACAGTTAGTGTAATGTTTGTTTAAGATATGAGACTATTTAGATATATAACCATGGCCCTATGACATTTGGCTACACCTGTTTACAATGATCATTTTTTATATATGATTGTAAATATTATTGTTCAATATTCCAGCAAGGCATGTGTATACATCCAGAATTTCAACAATTTTTACTTATGCAATTATTTCCTGTCTTCACAGGTCTCACGGAATTTGCACCTCCTTGCAGTGGTCATGGTAACTTCAGTCTGGACTCCTGCGTGTGCAGCCAAGGCTGGGGAGGAGAGAACTGTTCAGAGCCTCTGTGCCCACTAGGCTGCTCTGGGAGGGGCACCTGTATAGAGGGCATCTGTGTATGTGAGCCAGACTACACCGGCGAGTGGTGCACAGACCTGCTGTGTCCAGAGGAGTGCAGCCCTCATGGGCACTGTCAAGATGGACAATGCTTGTGCCAAGAGCCATACACGGGTGTCAGCTGCAATGAACTCCGCTGCCCAGGTGACTGCTTGGGAAAAGGACGTTGTGCCAATGGGACCTGCGTATGCCAAGATGGTTATGTCGGAGAGGATTGCGGGCGCATGTGGTGTGTGAATGCCTGCAGTGGCAGAGGGCAGTGCCAGAATGGTGTCTGTGAGTGCGAGGAGGGGTACAGTGGGCAGGACTGTTCTGAAGGTAAGTGCACACAACCCAAGAAACTGGACTATTAATTATCATTATTTGATACAGGGATGTATGATAAAAATACAACAAATGTAAACAGCTCGCAACGTGGAATTTCTATGAGCGGTTAAAGCGACCATAGCTGCAGTCAGAAAAAGTTAAGCAATATTCCTCTAGTAATTGTGCAGTGGGGCCATATCATGTATTGTTAGGAGAGCCTTCAAAATGGACAGTGTTCACTTACTGAGCACTTCAGCTAGCTAGCAGTATGAGTTGGAAAATCTTCTGGCCAGACTGTAGACTTGACGTGCACTTAGAGCCATCTGTGGTTGGGAGTCTTGGGGAGTGGCTATAATATAGGCCACAAGACAAAGTATGTTTTCATGTCCGGGATAAATAAAGGGCTACAGAAAAACTCTGCAGAAGCAATAATAATGGCCTGTGTGTTTTTATTTTTAAGTATATACTGTATAAACCCTGCAATTGTTAATATTAATTGTAATCGATGGATGAAAACGACCCTCCAGCCAACAGATTATATCCATGGAGGCACGGAGAGGTAAGTAGAGGCCCTGGGGATTAATTACATTTCAGTCTTGGGTGTAATTATATTTTAGGATTCATATCTTAATTAATATTTTAAGGGAAAAAAATTTCAATTTTGTTTTTTGGATGATGGAAGAGCTTCAGCGCCTTTTTTTGGAATCTAATCTATAGAAATGAGGTTCCACTGTTCCAACAGCCCGGTTTATGCAAAATGATTACCTCCATCTGAGGCAATGCAAAATTGTTCACAGAAATTCAGATGGGCCCATTTAGTGTTTAAAATGAATTTACATTTTTGAACTTCTGGAAGATGTGAAACTAATAATAACCATTTTATATTGGATTAGAAAAGATACATTGTTAACGAGTATTATTTTGTTATTTAAATCCAATGCCAAAAACACTGATTATGATAATACAGTTAACAATTCTTGTTAACTTGATGCACACATTCCTGGCAAGTTGTAGACTTGCAGAACACTTGCAGCACAAGTTCTAGTTGACAATTTTTGAATTTGTAGCAAATTTGCTTGTCAAGTCTACAGCAATAGTCCTGCAGGTCTTAGCAAGAGCTCTGCAAAGCACGCTGGTCTGGAGACTTGCAATGCAGACTTGCTGTAATTGTGCAACAAAATTGTGAAGCTTGGCAAGTCTGCAATAGTTTAGCAAGTCATTTTCAAACTTGCAGCACAATTGATTGCTATCTGGGTGCAGACCTACCTGGGAATCCTGCAGCAATGATCTATTGGTTCTTGCTGCAGGAATCCCCAGACACGCATAAAAGCCCTGTGTGCATGTAGCCTAATAATGTTAGTGAAAATGTATGTGCTTATCAAATACCATGTTAAACAATAGCCTTTTTTTCCAGTCATGGAACCCTTTTAAATTATGCATACATCTTGAGGCACTCCAGTAAAAAATGTAAGAGCTATAAATGTAACAAATGATGTGTGGTCCTTCCAAAATCCATAATAAAATCCATATTAAAAATCCATACCAGACTCCTATCTAGGATAAGGGTCTGTTATGGATTTGTAATGGGGGAACCCATGCAAAAACACAAATAAGTGGGGTTCTCCTATTCACATCAGAGTCTCCTTTTCACATTAGGAACCCCTGTCACATCAGAGCCCCCCTTTAGCAGCCTTCAATTTGGAAGCCCCCTCCTTTCAAATCCTCAAACCCGCTCTTACACTAAGAGCCCCTCTTCACTTTAGAAGCCCCTTCCTTTCACGTCAAAGTCCCACTCACATCAGAGGCCCCTTTCACATAAGAATCCCACTTTTAACATTAGACTACCCCTTTACATCAGGAGCTCCCCTTCACTTTAGAAGCCCCCTCCTTTCACAACAGACTTCCCTTTTTCCCATTAGGAGCCCTTTTCACATCAGAGTCATGACGCTCTGTGGAACTTTGGAGGCACCCCTTAAGAAGGAAGAAGGCATCCCAGGGTGTCACTGCACCCTGGTTGAGAAAGGCTGAGTTAGATAAATTAAGCTCCCCTTCACTTTAGAAGCCCCCTCCTTTCACAACAGACTTCCCTTTTTCCCATTAGGAGCCCTTTTCACATCAGAGTCATGACGCTCTGTGGAACTTTGGAGGCACCCCTTAAGAAGGAAGAAGGCATCCCAGGGTGTCACTGCACCCTGGTTGAGAAAGGCTGAGTTAGATAAATTGATTGAATCTCTTTCCAAAAACAAACTATATCTGCTTTGATAAAAATGCTGAAGATCCTTAAATGACAAGACAAGAATGAGGTAACAGACATGATTAAGTGTCTATGAAAGTATCAGGGAGAGTTATATACTGTATGTATAAACCTAATAATTAGGTGTATGTGATCCCGGGAAGAAACCTCCATTACCAATTATTACTGTAGTGAAAGCCACATTGTCAGGAGCAGTATGTCAAGTGATATGCTAAGCATCATTAAATAAAGGCAAATTTGTGCCAAAATTGAGTCACGGCAGGAAACAACTCCCCAACCCCACTCCTAAAAATGTCACAAGCGGATGAACAATTGTAGATCTTGGTTAGCAGTCCAGATACTGTATATTTGGGGTGTTTTGGAGCTTTAAAGGTTTCTGAGAGATGCCTCTCATCTTTGATGGGTGTGAAAATACTGCCTAACAGCTTGCAAGTAATCTTCAGTATCATGCCTTGCTTTCTCAGTGACATACGGCAAGAAGACTCTCATGATGTTCCCTACCAAGAGGATTGTATAGTGTTTTTGTATAATTTTTATTTATTCTGTCTAGGTAAAAAAAAATCAGTATTTGATGTATGATTTGCGTGGCGGTGCATTGAAATCAATGCTACCGCAGCCACACCCTCCAGCCGCAGTGTGATTGACCACACCGAAACATATGGCACATCAATGCCTGCGTTCCAGTCTGGTTCGGTCAGAAAGAATAGTGCATGCAGCAATTTTCTGACCGCACTGGAAACAGGGCATTAATGTGCCACGCATTCTGGTGCGGGTGATCGCACTGGGCCCGGAGGGCGTGGCTGTGGTGCCTTTGAGTTCAAGGCACTGCCACACCCCCTCCTGCCCCAAAACAAAGTGAGCTGGCCAGAATGCGATCCAGTGCGTTCAGGCACCAAATTGGGCCGGAACACACTGGGGATGGTGTGAACTGGCCCTAAAACATGATAGGATGCACCCCAGGAGCACACAAAACTCTAAGCAGTTATAAAAAAAACATTGAATACAGTAAAAAAAAAATGTGTTTTATTGCAGCTTTTGAAAATACCTGCATTTGATTTGATTTCAGCTTTTAGTAACTCCATGTATAGCGGCTGTCAGGCTGTGAGAGGAAGGTACAGCACTAGGGGTCAGGCTCTCCTACACAAGCATGTACTGACAAGGAGCATGCTGATTGGGTGAGACAGAAGACAAATGACCTCATTAGTCTGTTGCTGCTTCTTGCACTGTGGGCATGAAGATGGCCTAGCTGTGTTGCTTAACTGCAGTAGAGAAAAGTCGGGTCACCGGCTCGCTGTGCTGTCCATTAGGGTTGTGTAAATGAGATAACTAAATAGATGTAAATGGAAGTAAAAACAGCTCCTATATATGTTTTTGTGATCTTAGCTGCTTGCCTGGAGTTCAGCCTTAGGTCACTGACATGGCACAGGGCCAAACTGACAGGTAGAGCAATACAGAATTACAGAAATGCTTCAGTTTACAGATTCATTTATAAAGAGTTGAAAACTACTTTAAAAGAAAACTTCATCTGACAAACAGTAAGAGTAGATTCCAGACCTCAAAAGGTATTTTATGCAGGTCATTTCTTAAATGTTTTTGTGATGTAGGAATGATGTACTTTAGACCTTTGCACTGTGAAAGTAATGCTGCCATGTTGCAGCTTACTCTATGAAAAACAGGCAATCTTCTGTCTACAGCTGATCATTTAAAAAAAAAACAGCCTGTTGCCAAATGGTAGGCCACTGACACAAGTAGTGTGCCTATGGGACCAGTGAAACATTTGTGAAGCTTCCTTCCGGACCTTCCCCTCTAGAGGGTTCCTCAATGGTAGTTTAAGCTTTTTCAAACCTAACTTTTCCAGATATCTTCAGGCTAATCAGGTAATGCGCTGGGTCCTTTTCCTTTGTGCCTCATCCCCTGGGCTGTGTGGTCTTCAAAAATGCAGAAAGTGGCACTGACATGATGACATCATATTAGCTCCCCTGTCTGCATTATTACACTGTATATGAGGGCCCTGTAGGGTCCATGACTCTCCACACTCAGAGTGTGTCCTTAGTCTTCTTGGTGGAATAGTGCTTGGAAATTTGATGACATTTTGTGGTGAAATGGCATAACTGCGGAGTACAGCTTTACAGGAGAGGTCAGTAATGCAGAGCTTGGGGACCTTTCAACAAAACTACAAACCCAACAAAGAGGGGTAACAGGCCTGCAGATGTACAGCAGGCCTCGGGATACCAGAAAAGTGGTCTGGTACAAGCCGAGTCGTTAACAGGAGGGCAGTGCGGTAAAGGAACATCCCGAACAGCAACAGGATCGTCCCGAACAGGAGCGGGAACCGGCTGGACTGGAACGAACCCCCGAGTATCTAAAACGGTCATCCACAGTCTCATCCTCAGAGCAGTCGACCCAATCCTCATCATCTGAACAATCTGTCCATTCTTCGAGCTTTTCAGCTTCTGACCGATACTCGGCTAAGAGACATGAGGGGTCTTGCTGGGGTGCCTTGGGAACAGGTGTAACTGAATGGCAGACAGGTCTACAATACTGACCCAGCTTCCTGACTGCAGGGAGGGCCTAAATACCCTCCCAGGAAGCACCAGGTGATGGGATGATCAGTCACAGCTGGGGCACACCCGCAGGTGAGTACTGGAGCTGCAGGTTCCTTACAGTTCCTGGCTGCTGGAGACACCCGCAGGTGAGCACAGGAACTGCAGGACCCGGCTCCAGCGCCACCTGGGGGTGCTCTGGATCCTGACATATG